TAGATAACATTAAACAATTATCAACGGTAAATATTTCATCCTTAACAGCTGAATACTATTGGAAGGTTTTCAGGGACAAGGAATGTTTTTTTTTTTTGTCATTTGTATATACAAAATTTTATTAATATTGGCGTTGCAATAATGTTAGTGTCAAAAATTTATTTTGGTCTTTGTTTAGAGACACAGGATATCCATTTATAGATTATAATTTTTTACTTTATTTTGAGAGATGAATTTTTATCTCTCTAAAAAATAGAAACTAGTTATATAACAAAAAAAAAAAGAAAATAGTTTATCACTAATTTTATATATTTGTGTCTCTCTAAACATATAATATGTTTGCCTCTAAGTCTGTCTTTAGATTGATTATTATTTTTATCTGTAATTCTGACTCTAAATTTAAACATAATTTTGTATCTAAATCAGTCTTTAAAGATAGGATATTTGTGTCTCTGAATCAATAGTTATTTTTCTCTGCCATTGTCGTCTCTAGACATAAAGTTTATTCTGTCTCTAACTTCTCTATATAATTATTTTTAATTTTGCCTCTATATATTATTTTTTTTCTTTGATCGTGTTACTAAATCTGAACATAATTCCATATATAAATTAGTTTCTAAATGCCAGATTTTTTTCTTTCTTGAATCGATAGTTATTTTGTCTCTGGGGGTAAAGTCAATTCTATCTAAAGTCTCTAACTTATTTATAATTTGAATATAATTATTTTTAATTTTACCTCTAAATTCAATAATTTAGGTATATTTTTTCAATAAATATTTTACACAATTCAAAATAATTATATTTTAGAATCATGAAAATTAAATTCAAAATAATAAAATTAGATAATCATTCAAAAGATATTCCAATTTAAGTACATAACGTGATATGGAGTACTGCGAAATTCATAGTCCTAAATATTAAGAGTTATAAATAATATTAATGCTAAAAGGTTGGGTTAATATGATCTTCTATGTATTTTTTAACCATCTCTTTGTAAGTGTGTAACTGAAGATGTTGCATTATTATACAATATAAACCTTTGAGATCTTTGCTTTCATTTCTCTATTTTCTTCTTTAACATCTTCTGTTTATATTTTTTTTCATTGAAGTTAATTAACAAGAGCCTTACTTGTAGACTTCAAGTGGGTAACCTCCTTTGAAGACACACAGTCCAATCAGGTAAAAGATGAAGTAGAAAAATTATGCAACTTCAATAGCCTTTGATCTTATAGTTAATAAATATAGCCTCTTTCTTTCTAATATCTTTAACAACTTTTAAGTAAATGCTATTATCAAATTGTTAGATGTTGCTACCTTCATTACGTTGGCTTTCTTTCTTAGTAATTCAACTCTTGTGCATTTTCTGAAAATGTTTAATTATTAGATAAAATTTAAATATGCAAAATAAGGAAACTTGGACAATTATATCATACATAACTATATTTTTTTATTATTATTTGCTAAACAATTCATTTGGCTTTCCCTCAAGCTTATAAAGTCTCTCATAACGTTCAAAACATGCTAGTTCTCTATTCAATTGCATTTTCTAAAAGAATAAAAAATAGATATGAAGTGAATATAAATTTTATTAGACAATAATGAGTTAAACAAATTGTAGTACTATTGTTCAGCATGTTCTTTTGCATGTGTAGATCTTCTACTATACACATTATGCCGCTTTGGCATGCCTATTTTTTTTATTGTTTTTTTTTTTTTACTTATCTATTTTTATTATAGACTATTTTTCATTTTACTTTTCATCTGCATCCTTTTTCACCCATTGTTCAAAATTCCATACTTTTACTTTAACTAATTAAAATATGCGAGCCTTGACTAACACACCACAAACTACAAAACCATTTATACAAACCTATCTCCAATTTATGCCCGATCAACCAAAACTTTCTTCTCATCCTATTATACCTCAATTACACGTGCTTTTCACGGATCAATTCTCAAAAGAAAAGAAATGTAACACAAATAACGTAGAGAGGAATCAAAACGAGTGAAAATCTTAAGATGTACTAAAGCAAAATTAGAACAAGTCAAATCTAATGAAAAATTAGATTAAATCAAAGGACTTAACTTTGTTTAACAGTGAAGTGCATACTTTTCACTGCTACGTCCCAACCCCAGGTAGTATGGAACTCACTTCTGATGTTGTGTTCATGATAACTTTGTTAAAGACAACTTTCATATATATATTTCATAATTTGTTTTGAATTTAAAAATGTATATTTTTATTTTATTTTATTTATTATAATATTTATTTTTTAAAATTTATAAAATTTATCCACTTATTTAATTTTATTTAATATTATAAAATATTTATTATAAATACTTATAATGTTTAGTATTTTTCAAATTTATTAAATTTAAAATTAATTATATAATTTCTTTTTATTTAAATTTAAAATTTTTATGTATTTAATAATTACCATACAATACCAAAAAATTTCCAAATTAAAAAATTCCAAAATGTAAATGGTATAAAAAGTAAGAATTGAAGGTCATAAACAAGTTTCAAATATTATACTAGATTAAATCATTATTTAATAAATATTTTATTTATGTATATTCATCATATCTATCTAAAATAGTAAAATAAACGTAGTTTATTAAAATTTTAACTTAAGATTTCAATTATAACAGTAATTTATTATAATAATTTTGGGTTGAGCTGTTAAATTTGTCCATCCCTGTCAATTTTTTTTAGTATCAATGTATTGTAAATTTGTTTAGATTTACCCATTATACTGAACTAACTTTAATATTTATAATTCTAAAATAAATAAATAATATTTTTTAAGATTATTGATAAAATTTTAATATATTAATTTGATGTGTTGAATCTACATTGAAATATTTTGTTCAATTAATTTGTATATTTATATATTTTTTACAATTCAAATATATTAATTTGTATATAAATTTAAAGATAACAATCCTTCAAACTATAAACTAATTATATTAATTTATAATAAATAAATTGAAATTTTATATCATTCTTTAAAAAATATTATAAATCATTTTCTAAATTCAAAGACAGAAATTGTTCGAGACAAATTTTGTTTAATAAAAAAAAGACAAATTTAGAGACGGAAAGTTTGACCAACTTAATTGTGTCTTTAAAAAATGTTGCTAATATATATATATTTCTATCAGTTGATACGTTGAATATGTTATTTTATTTTAATTTTTAAGTTTGGCCTCTAAATTATATAATTCATCTGTGTCTCAAATTTTAATAGAAACATAAATATTTGTCTCTAAATCAAGGTTTTCTTAAGTAGAGATGTTGTTTAAGCTAATGATATATAAAAGGATGAAGACGCTTATCTGGCCTCTAACTAGCAAACATAGGTAGGGATGCATGCAGTTTAATTAGTTTAATATTAATTATAGATTTACCCAACTTGGCATCACAATATGACATTAATTAATTCACATGGATAGGTGTGGCGGCGTGGGCCTCATAGACAGCCACGTGGTTTTTAGAAGAAAATAATTAGTTATACAAATAAGAGATCGATAATTGGAGCAAATGGAGGGACAGTTCATAATAAATTACAAAGAATTGGGTAAGTAGAGAGGATAACGGTGCTTTCTTAATTTGTATACGACGATGTGCTTCTTCTTTGCAATATTTGATAGTTTTGGTTTATCTAAGAAAATATATATTTTATGCTTTGATACATTATTATTAAAAATTATAATTTTTTTATATATTTTATACGAAAACAAACTAAGGAGGACAAAAGTGAAAACTTGTCTTTTATTTACCTTTTTTTTCTTTTTTGTAAATTGTCTCACAATATTTGGATGAGGTGCTACGTTTGCAGGGTTTCACCATATTGTTCTATCATTGGATTGCAAACCTCACTTTATGCATCATGCTAAAATTTTATGCAGAGAGAAGAGTAAAATCTGGATGACTACCTAATATACAATCACGTGGTTATTATGGTTGCATAAAACCTATATTATTTTTAACAAGATAAAATTTGATCCTCAAAAAATTTTGCTATTAAAGTGTGATTATAGGTTAAAACTAGGTTTGAAGGGATATTTTTTCTTTCTATAACTTGTTACCAAATCCTTTGCCATGTATTGATACGTGTTGTTAGACATATTTGTAGACAGTGATTATGTAAAAGTTTATGCTACTAAATAAAATTATTTTGAAGATAAAACAAAAATTATTATTATCACTGTACTAACTTACATCAAATCTAAGTATGGAGGTCAATAAATAAAATCACATCTCAGTCTTTTATTCTGAATTCAATTTTAGAGTCAACTATCAATTTTCTTTTGTCATGAGTGTAGTATCTTGAAGGGATCTAAATCATCAACCAAAGTATAAATAACCATTAATAAAGCCTTTTTCACGTATAATTTTAAAATTATTTCAAAACACTTAAGTAATCATTTTAACAAGTAAAAGAATATAATGGTTTTTAATTATACTATTTTGTTATTGATATTAATAATGCTAATTATATGTGAACTTTAATTATTTTAATAATAAAGAAATATTATCTCTTGTAATTTTATTATCATATAAAAATAATATAATTTGTTAGAAATAATGCATAGGTTTCAATGGCACCTATCTCATTTGATATATAAGTTTCAATACAAAACATGTTATTAAGGAAGTCTATGGGTTTGTTTATATTTGATTTTAGGAGAGATAAATATTCTTAAAATCACTATATTTTACATTTTATGCCAAACTTACACCAAATTAGCCAAATTAAGAACAGGTTGATTTGGTTTCATTCATCGAGTAACACACTTATGCAATATGATACATGATATCTTATTATATTCGTACGACAAAATTATGCAACTACTTATATAATATTTCTTTCATTTTTTTTATCTATCTATCACATCATTTGTTATAAAACAGATTTATATGTTATATAAATATAAATTTTCATATCTTATTACAACATGTTATGTGACATAGAGAGGGTTTATTAATTTAAGGTTTACACAAGTCTTAGTTGCTCAAGTGATGACTGCACATCGATCTCATCGCCCCCACTTGCCTCCAAGGATTCCTTATAGGTGAGTCCACGATATTTTTGTGGGTGCTCTTCATCAATGAACTCTGTGCCTGGGCTGATGAATTTGTCCAACGCAGGTCCATGAAGGGTGACCACAGATATCCTCTGAACCTTATTGTTGTCGACAATAACTCGATGGATATGACTCTTATACTTTCCATTGGTTAAGATCTAAGGTAAGATTAAACAAATGTTAATTATTGAGGATGGTGGAAATTTGTTCAAATAGGGAAAAAAAAAAAAAAAGCCTACTTAATCAAGGCACAAGAATTAAATTAAAGAATAAAATTTAAGCGTTAGAGTCAAGATCAGAATTTTATTTGAATAATGTGTTAACCTTTGTTATTATGTATATTATTAATATAAAAGTTAAATTTTAATTAAAAAACCAAAAATATTATTGATAGTTTACCTAAGTTTTGTGTCAGACTAAATTAAAGAAAAGTACCTCAAGATGATCGCCAAGCTGGATGAGTATGGCATGATGGGGAATATAAACATTAATCCACTTTCCTTGATGGGATAGGATCTGGAGACCACCATTTACATCTTGCGTGAGTGTAACTACAAAGCCAGGGTCAGTGTGTTCAGGGATACCAATGGACCCTTTGGATCTAGAATTGGGTGGGTAAAGGTTCATAGCCATCACATCAAATCCTGACTTTAGGTTGAATGCCTTCTCGATGTAGTTTTCTTCAAATCCTAAGGTTTTGGACACTGCCCTTGCTAGTCCCACTACTATCATTCTCATTGCTTTGTGATATTCTTCTAAAATTTTGCTGATGCTAGAAATAACCCAAAACAAAGTGACATCAAAGGAAACGCCTCAATAAAGATTATATAATATATTCAAATTTATAATAAATATGAACGCAAAATAAATATTCGTCTGTACCTATGTGATGGGCTAGCAGGAGCATGATATTGGGGATGTGCAATAACCTTCAGATATTCTCTATTTTCCCCAGTATAAGAGTTTAGGTCCCATCGGATTTTATCCGATGGGGCATTTTTGCGGTAGACCCTTCTTTCATCTATTGTTGTTGGATCAAAATAATCAGAAAATCCTTTCAAAACATTGTCCAACACTTTATCTGGGATGGTATGGTTCACCAGCTGCATTGATACAAAGCAATGATTACTACATATATGTTGAAATGTGCTTGTTTACAGTTTATAACATTTGAAGCAGAATAATTTTAATTAGAGAGAAGCCAGTCATGCATGGCATATACATGGTATAAGTATATTAGCACACAAGAGCTCATGAGAATTTACATAGAAGAAGCCATATTCGTGGCATGCGTGGCTGAGTTTTTCAAGGGCTAGGAATTGCTGATCAGGGTCATCAGAGAAAAGAATAGAGTAATCAACCGTGGGTATTTCATCATCAAAAGCTGAATATGTATCAGCATGCTGATCACCTGCCACGGCTAGCTGCTGTGAGGAAAAATTATGGTAAAGTGGGGCAACATTAAACTTACTAGGTTCGACGGAAGAGTGTAGTCGGGTTACAAATGATGTTATTTTAGCCATGACAAAGAATGATAAGAGAGCAAGAGAAAGCTTGGCTATTACCCACAACTAATATATTTTGTGAAAATGCATGAACTTGTGCTGCTATTTATAGGCGTGGATGTGAAGACTACCGAGAGCTTTGTTCATTATTATATGGCCATCTTACACAACTGGACAATTTTGTATTATTTCTTTCCTTAAAAAGAAAAAATATTTCTACAGGTATTATGGCCCAACTTGTCAGTCCATGCATGTTATAGCACTTTCTTAAATATTTCTCGTATGTCATGATTGGGAATTCACATATAGTTCGTTAAAAGAGGACAAACTATGGTTAGGTGTAAATGAAATCGAAACGAAACTACGATGCATCATTTGGGCGTTTACGTCATTGAGTTAGAGTCATAGAGGTAGTTAAGTAAGAATAAATTAACAGTGCATTATTAAAAAACAAAAGCAATTAATAATTATGTTATCGTGCTGATAAATTATGCATGTTTTTAACATTAGTAATTGAAGGTACAAACTTATTTCCTCGTTGCTCTCCATCAGTTTTGGGTCCGCCACTCATTTTAACGTAAAGGTTCCTTTTGTATTTGGCCAACAACTGGAATTTCTCAAAAGAAGTTTGATGGGGGGAAATTGAAATCTTTCTAAATCTCCAAGGCGACGACTGAATTCTGCACTTGTTTTGTATTTATTTGCGGTTATCAGACCATAATCATATTAACGCTTTTTATCAGGCTGCAGCCATGTAGTATATGATAACTCTAGCTGCAAGGGTTTTGTTATGCAGCAAGTTAGGGGCAGAGGTAACACCTACTGAACGTCTCGTTGTTTATTAAAGGGATGAAATGTTGTTTATGAAAAGGATATTAATAGGTGACTAGCATATTCTCTGCATACGTACATTTGAGTTGGTTCAGTTTAGGTTGTTAGATATTAAAAAATATTTTTTGATGGTGGTTAGCAATCTATTAAAGTATAAGTAAGATAATTATAAGTTTAAAATGGTTAAAGCATGTTAGAGAAATAGACTGACTTCATTTGCTCTCTAATTTTGAATTGACGTTTCACTCAAATTTTTAAAGGGACGTGGGTGCAAAAGAAGATTTTCTGCACCAATTTTATACATTGCTTGATAAATAATCAATTTGTTAAAATAAGCTATGTAGAAAGTGGGATAATAAGAATAGCGTAAATTATTTTTTCTTTTGCCCTGGCAACATCTTTCAAGTCAATTTCTTTGTGGCTGGAAAGTTTGTTAACGGGAATGTGGCATCCTGATCTGAAAAAATGGCCAAGGTTTAGATTATTTTATTTGTAACGTCACATAATATATTAAGTTATAAATGTCGAAGAAAAAATTATAATAGATTTTATTAATGTTAGCTTAAATGTAGAGACTATCTTAAAATATATTTGAATTAGATAAAATTTAAAATATATTTGAATTAGATAAAATTTAAAATAATTTATGCTTATAAAGTGAATTACATGAGTCTTGCACAGCAGCCTCTGCCTGCAGCATTTGTCGACCTCGCATGTGTATCCAACATCCTCTATTAGTTTGGCTGATTTGTCAACACAGTTACATAAATGTTTATGCATAAAATGAGTTATTTGGTTTATTCGGTTTAGTTTACGGTAGTCATCAATCAGGCTTTAGCAAATCGGCTTAACAAGATTTGAATTTAATTTGAGCTAGAAAAATTATGGCAAAAACGAGTGATGCTTGATTTTTAATTTTTGCCTACGTTAGGTTTGACGGGATTAAAATAAAAAAAATTAATTAATTTAAATTTAAAATTAAAAGTCTAAATCCTTTATTTTATTAGACAAATTCAAGTCAGTTCGGTTTAACATATCTATTTTATTGACTTTAAATATAGTAAAAATAATAATGTTGATTTCCATTGATATGATATATATATAATTAATTTATATAGACTAAATTTATAGTAGATTTTATCATTTAATTAGTGCAGATGTGATTGTCATTAACGTGAAAGATTTTATTGTTAACTTAATAAAAATGGATTTGGATAATAATTTAATTAAGTATATGTTTAATAAGTTTTTATTAAATAAAAAATTACACCATAAATTTGATCATTTAATTTATTAACATAATTAAAAAAATTATTTTAATAAGTTAAAAATACTTATTAAAATCATAAATTATTTTCATGAATTCTTTGTTTGCTTTTCTAAATGTAATCCAATTAGTGAATGTAATGAATCCTTAATCTTCTTGTGATCCTTTGATATTGATGGGAAGCTAGAAAGGAGGTCAAAGGCCCAAACAGCAAAACCAGAAGTAGCGGTGTAAAAAGGACGAGTTAAGATGGGTTCCTTATTCAGCTCAAAATTTTGATATAAAAGGTAGATTTTTTTACCCGAATCCGATCAAAATCCAATAATATTGGGACAAGACAGGGTCAACTCAAGTTACAAAGGAAAATCACTATGTAAAAAAAAATAGAAACTTAGATAATCGAAGAATCTAAAAGAAAAACAGCCGAAGTCGTCGATATTGATTTCGATTGTTTGCTTTTGTTTTAGTTTGATATCCTTTTGTTTTTTTTTTTTTTTAATAATTTAGGTACAAGGAAGGACTCACATTTAAGGTGAGATCAAAAGAATTCACTGAAGAGACTTTAATTTATAATGATAAATTTTGAATTTGCTTTTCAAATGTCATAATCTCTTTTTTTATTAAGTGCATGTTCTCGAAGCTAACTAGGTAACTGTCCATCTTTATTTGGTTCCAAGCTAACTGTCAACTTTGAAAATTTCGGTGCAGAAATATTTTTTTTAAGAGATTAAGGAGTTTAATTTCGTGGTGTATTTTTAAAATGTATGTATAAAAAATAATAAATAAATAAAATTAAGTGTTTATAATATTAGATTACCAAAAAGGTGTTTACAATATTAGTTACAATGGTTAATATCACTTTTTAATTAGTTGTATCAGAACCGGTTAATAAAACGGTTGTTGCACGATTTGGAGTTTTCACACTGCTAAATATAAGCAGAGAAAACAACGACGCACGCTATTCATCAAACCCTTAAGACGTGAATCTTTATCCATTAGTTGCTGACTTTCTGTACAACTGAGTCGAATTTTCCTTGTTAAATGCAGTAAGAAAAAGAAAAAAGTTAAAAAAAGGGTTTGTTATGGACCAATTGAACTTAGCTTTCTACAAGATCTAATATATTAAAGGCACAGCATAGTTAGTCGAAATTAGGTAGCGTTTCTTAAAGATTCTTGATCGTAATTATAAAATAAACTTTATTAGAAAAAATCGTTCCTACTTCGATGATTTTTCTGCCTTAAAATAAAACCTTTAACTATCTAAAAAAAATCATTGATACACAGAAAAACAAAAACCAAATACACACACCTCATACGTTTTAACACAACCAAAAACATGTTCATCTTCAATGAAATCATCATTTCTCATTAATTTATTGTCGCCAGCATAAAAGCTCATTGTCATTCTTGAAGGAAAACTATCTGCAGCTCTAGCTGAAATGAAAATGGAGCTCCTCACCATGGCTAAAATGAAATTAAAAAACAAAAAAAAAGTCGAAACACTGCGTTGAGAAGATGATTTCTGCGAGAAAATTTAAATATTTCTTAAGTGAAACGATCAAGGATAATATTGTTTTTCTCTTTCTGATGCCGATGCCGTCTTTCAATTTCAACTTCAACTTTCCAGTGCTTTTCCAGCAGAGTGACGAGACTTTAGTTTTCGTTCTAAATCTCTGCATTTCCTAACTTATATAATGTGAAAGGTGACTTGGCGAATACAACTTTGTTTTACATGTACAAAGAGTTGTGCTCTAATTAATGTTTCTTTTCTTTTTTATTACTCCTTTTTTATTTTTTATTACCTCTACGCCTCTAGTTAGCTTCCTTCAATTGGTGGACGATAATAATATTATAGTTTCTTGATTTCTGTAATCTTTTACATTGTTTTAACTAAAATAAATGATAATATGTTTATATCCAAGAGACCTTGTTTTATGCATCTTATTATTTTCGAAAAATAAAATGAGAGTTTAGTCATTATGCTATTGACTTTTTATATAAAATTTATACACTCTTCATTTCCTGTGCAAATAATAAAAATTGTATTAATTTAAATAATTAATTTTAATACGGTATTTAAGAATGAAAATTACACGAATACGAAGTTTTTGAGTAAAATATTTATACATGAATTTTAAAAAATTATCATTGGCGAGTTTTGGGTGGCCAGCCATAAACAGTGCATATTTAAGCTCCAATAGCATGTTGGTTTGTTGCTATGAAGGCAGAAAAATTATTAGTGACGAGTTTTGGTGACAGGAATCTCTGCAGCAACGTCCTATTCCTATGGTCTCGTTCAAAATTTGTTAATGACGAGTTTCAAAGCTATAAACTAGGCGATAAAATGCAGCCTAAGAAGAAGGAAAGGAGAGGAGTGCATACGTGTAGAAGAAGAAGGAGCCACCAAAAAAACATATTAGAGAAAATAGATTTTTATATTTTTATAAAAAAGAAAAATAGTGTTTAAATTTGTTAAAAAATAGAAAATTTTAATTAATAAAAGAAAGATAAGAAAAAATGTTTTATGATTCAACCGTAGATTTACGTAGGCATATTTCAGGAAAAAAAATTACAATGCAAGCAGTTTTAATAAAAAATTGTTAATTATTTGGATATTGTAGTTTTAATGTTGGTAGTGATTTTATAAAAAGAAATAGTTAATAAAATGTTAATTTAATATTAATTAAACTATTAATTTAATTATACAAAATTATGTTAATACAACATTTTATTTTAAATTTTATATGTAGTAATTATTAGCATAAAATAAAATGTTATTATTTAATAAATATTGATCATCGTTATTGAAATGTTTATTAGCAATTGTGTAAAATTATTTTGAATGTTATAAAGTGTTAATTATTTATATTAATTTATTTGGGCTACTTTAGAAGAAAGTTTAAGTGTTTGTAAACAAAAATTATTTATTATTGCTATAAGTGTTAATTTATTTTGGAAAATATTATGAAAAAATTAAATTAAATATAAAGGGAAAAAGCATTTTTATGGTATAAAATATTATAATTTTTATTTAAATTGATTAAATTTTGGTGCAAAATTTTTAGTTTTAATGATTGTTAGTGTTAAAATAGAATTTATTAGCATTTTTCTAAAATTATATATGGATTGATAAATTTTTATGGTATAAAGGGTAAATTATTTCTGTTTATTTCCTTTTTTTATGGTTACTTCTAAAAGAGTAAAAAGTTTATTTAAATGAAATTTTATTATTATTGCATTAGTTTTATATAATTTTTAAAATACTTTTTGAAATAAAAATGTTAAATTAAATAAGGAAAATATGTGCAATTTTTTGGAAGTAGTTATTCAATGGTTAAATTAGTGTTAAATTAAATGTTAGTACTTTTCAATAGGTTTGCGAATGCTATAAAGTTTATAAAATTTTACCAAATTTTATATGGTTACTTTAAAAAAAAAGTAAAAATTGAAAAGTAATGACATTTTATGATTATTGGTATAAGTGTAAATTTATTTTTAGCAATTTTTTAATTAAAAATATTAATTTATGCTATTAAATAAAAAAAATATGGCATAATTATGGTAATTTCTTAATTTTTATAATATAAAATGTTAAAATATATATGCAAATTTAAGAATTTTATATCATTAAGTATTAAATTTTTTATGCTTACTTTTAGAATTTGTAATTGTCAAAATGGTCTTTTTTAAAAAATAACATACAACTTAATGTCAAGAATTTAAGGATGCTGTTATTTATAGATCTAAAACATTTCTTTAAAATTATTGTCATTACTTACTAAAATTGCATAGTATCGCATGAAACTACTAAAAAATTAATGTTGGATATCTATATATGTTTTTTTTTTCACTATTTTTGAACTCTTAACTCCAATATATTAACATAACATACTATCTAGTTCTCAAAATATACATTAAACAAAACTGTAAATGTATTAATCTTTCGCATCTAAATGTCACACTTTAACCCGTATTTATAAGAATATTATCATCATAATATACTATTATATTTTCACTTATTTTTGTTCGTCAAAGATCAACCAAAACTCGAAAGAATTGCAATTAGCTATGGATGAAAATAGGCGAAAATGAGTTTATACAGTTGAGGATTCAAAAATCTTCCGTGACAATTTTGAGTCAAAAAACTCCGATTACAATTTTGGCCAATAAAAAACTTGAATGGCAAGTTTTGGTGGACTTAAATACAAAAAATTTTAAAATATTAAAATTCGTTAATAAAATTTTTTGAGAAAATAAAAAAAAAAATTAGCCTGTAGCACTCGTCAATGATAATTCTTTTTATTGACAGAAATTTTCAAGCCGAAGTTTAGTTAATAACAATTTTTGAAAATTTAACTACATCCCTGACAGTAAATGACATTTACATAAATCCCATATTCTTATATTTCACCCAAAAAAAACCCATATTTTAATAATTATAACAAAATTTACCATATAAAAAAAGTCTGTTAATTAAGTTTTGACTTTTTTAAATAGGATTGTTTTATGTATCTTCAAACGAGAAATAGAAGCATCATCTTTTAAAAAATATTTATCATAAATTAAAATATATTAAAAATTATGAAATTTAGCTGATTTTAACTCTTTTAGTTATAATTTAAATATTCTCTCATATTTTTATAATTTTCAATATTTGTGCTTAATTAAATTATATTTATTTTTTTAAAATAAATGAATAGAAAATATAACAAATAAAAAGATTAATTATATATATAATTATATACTTAACTGATTGAAATAATAACTTATCGGTTAAACTACTGTTAATTATTTTAACTGTGTCAGTCATTAGTCCCAAATTCATAACACTTCAATTAATATATAAGAAAACTAAACATTCCCTTTTTCTTTTTAAGAAAATTAAAAATTAACAATACATTTATACTTTTATTATAGAAATATCATATCAGGAAGAAGAATACGTCAATATCTTAAATCATTGTATGAGATTCAATTTTTGTTATTTGAATTTTTATATAAAAAAAGGATATCAATTATAAATGATAGATTAGATAAAGTAACACAAACATAATCAGAAATAACACATCCCTTGACATAATAATAATTAACAATCTACGATGAATAATATTTATATTTTGATTTAAATGATATTTTCGCCATCATACTTAATTCACGATTGTAAGTTAGTGACTGCATGTTGTCAGTTTCTATGAGTACATTTATTTTTGAATTAATCTCAGGCATTATATTTAAATTACACGACGTTTGTTATGTGGTGCTAACGGATCCAAGGTGGATCTATAAATTTTTGAATAACTATTCATTTTCCTCCTCCATTCATAATCAGCTATTTGCATTGCTCCTTCGTCATCATAGTTCCTCCCATCACTATGAGGAGCAACTTTATTTATTGCCTCATAGATAGGTTTCACCATAAAGTTAAAAAATGCGTTCTTACTAGAAATCAAAAGCATTATTGGCTAATTCTCCAAGATAATGTTTTTTGTTGGTCATGTTATGAAAGACGTAACAAATGCACTTAGGAACAAAACGTAGGTTGACGGCCTTTCCTTATATGAGGAGGTAAAGGAGATGTAAAGGAGCTAATGGGGGAGCTCAGAGTCGTCAGCTTGGCGGCTACCGAAGATCCAAATGTTTGACTTCTTTTCAAGGTATGAGCACCAGGAAGTGTAGTTTTTCAAGAACTTCTTGTGAAATGCCGGAGAGCGCCCCTATTAAGAGTGTCGATGTTGTCCGGCGACGGAGTGAGACGCATCTGAGCATTGACGAGGTGGAGAACCAAGTGCTTGGGTTGGCTGCGAATGTTGTCTTTTTGGAACTCGAAGAAAAGCGCGAGCCAATCGATGAGGTCCATGTTTGGTTGCAGTCACCGGAGGTCTTCGACTGTGCAGAGAGCCACAGTGGCTGCTCAAACCTTGAGGAAGGAAAACAAGGGGCGATCGACGAAGAGGTTGGAGATGAATGGTCCTTCAAAAAGTTGCACATAAAGACCCACCTCTTTTAATTTAAATGCAATGATAGAAATTAAATTAAAAATAAATATGCGTATAAAAACTTATATACACATTTTTTTTTAAATGGAAGGAGTAACTTATAAATATAAAAAATTTAGAAAAAAAAAAAAAAGAGGAAAAGACGTACGATGCACAAAGTAAGGCAATATGTATCTTTCGTCGGTCAACTTAAGTTACGTCATTGGTCTCTCTCTATATAAAAGGAATGAAAAGAAAAAAGAAAAAAGACAAATATCAATAGTACGAAAAATGGGAAAAACTAAATTGATAAAATTAGAAATCAACAACACTAAAAGATGCTTGATTGGCAAAATAAGAAAAAAGAAAAAAAGAAACGATATAACTCAAATTTAAAAATGGCAACTAGGCCTTCAACATAATTTATAGACCCCGTGCATGTGTAAACTTCAACAAAAGGTAAATATGGCCCTTCAAAGCTCCAGGCGTTATTTGCTTTATTTTATATGCAAATAAAAAAACAAATTAGATACAATCTTAGTGAAAGTGTTTCTAACTTGTTTAATTTGAAATAAAGCACTTACAATCAATATAATTCCTTGATCTTCATCTTTCTTTACAACCTTAAGGAATGTAAAACTTAATGTATTGATTTTTATTTTAGAAATTATAGTCGTGCTTGATTAAATATTATTATTGGATTATATCCTTCTAATTGTTCTTAATAATATTTCTTATATTGTGCAAGAGATTTAATTGCATGAAAAATGATTATTGCTATTTGTTTTGACATAAGCATTTTAAGAGGAATATTATTTCGATATATTGTTTTCTCTTCGTACATTTATTTTGTATTTATTAAAAATTTTAAGTTTAAACTAATAAATTTGGTATATAATTAATGTTTATTATTAATATATCTTGTAAAATAAATGTGAGATATGCGATAAACTTGAAGGAAAAAATATATTATGAATTTCTCGCAACGGTAAATTAAGAGCGATATATACAAGAGACATTGTTCTTTATTTTTTTTAAAAAAAATGAGATTATAATTTATTTAAATATATACGTCTAGTATAATTGATCACATATTGTATTGTTTAAATTTCATCCTTCGAATGCAAGACAGAGATATTAAATGATTTATATTTTGTTATATATATAGTATATGGTCCTAACATACAACTCTGATACCGGCAACTCTTTTCTTCAGTAAGGGTACCCCTGTAAAACTTTTATATGTTTTGTTTAAGATTAGTTCATGTGACTTCTAATACGTTATATTTATGAGACCCCATAATATGTTATACTCACTACATTAGATATGTTGTGCGAAACAAGAAAAACAAATTAGAAATTTTACTACAATTTTCACAAGTATGGTTAGCTATATAATTAAACACTAAATAGCCAATTACTTAATACCAAGTGTCACAGGCGCAGGGAAACCATGTAACTATATATCTACACTTCGTATGTCTTATTCTCTTTTATAAGGGCTTTTTATCCCTTATACTTTATTTCTGATATTTTTTCTTTCCTGTCAAAAGGAAAAAAAAAAAAAAACAATTCTTTTTGTTCATTTGATTAAATTGTAAACTTTATTTAGAAAAATCATATGACAAACTCTAATCAAACAAAATGGATAATATGAATGATAAGTGAAATATACTAGTGAGTCAAAAAGTAATTTATTTATTTATACGAAGGGAGACGACTTATACTAAGCCTCAGGAAAGGGTGATGTGGAAAAGAGAAAGGAACGGAATACATTTGCAAGTGGTCAAAAATGCAAACAATTTGTCTTACAATTTAACCAATATTCAGCTAACTCAATGGAACTTATTCATATCTTGATGTGACAAATCAAGTAAAAAGGTGATATTTTATGGATATCAAAGCATGTGCGCACACAGTTTTATTAATCAAAATTTCACACAAGTCTAAGTTGCTTAAGTGCTGAATGTATATCAATCTCACCACCACCATTTGCTTCCAGGGATTCCTTATATGTCATTCCACGATATTTCTGTGGGTTTTCTTCATTAACAAACTCTGTGCCTGGGCCAATGAATTTGTCCAAAGAAGGTCCATGAAGGGTCACCACGGTTATCCTTTGTACCTTATTGTTGTCAACAATAACCCTATGCACCTGACTCTTATACTTCCCATTGGTTAAGATCTACCATAATTGAAGATTAATAAAGCATGTTAATCAAACAGAAGGGGAAATTTATTCAAATAATAGATACTATTTTTTAATGTTAATAAAATGCTTTTATTAACAATTAGGATTAGCAGCCATCCACACAAGCTGCACCTTATGTTGGACACTTCAATGCATATGTACATCATTCTAGAAAGGCCTAGCTAAACTATTTAGAAGGTTACCTGCTACATTGGCCATATGACTCACACATTACTAATTGAATGTAAGTTGATATATTAGTTGTCTTGCATGTTAATAATTAAAAATATTTATTGATCACCGGTAATTTATTTCTTAATTAATTAAGTAGTTAATCTCTACAAAAACCACCACTTTTTGTTTAAGTTCTTATAAGCAAATTATTTTATTTTATTTTTTAAAAATATAAAAAAACTACATGATCTTAGTCTTTACTGAAAAATTAAAACCAATTGTTTTATCTTTTACTAAATGTAAAGTCTAAAATTAAATAATTTTTTGAGAGAGTTAAGACAATATTTTTTATACTTTTAGGGTCTAATTACTTAATTAAGATTGATATTATTTTAATTAATAATTATGTTGACTAAAAGTACCTCAAGTTGATCAGCAAGCTGGATGAGTATGGCACGATGAGGAATAGTGACATTAATCCAAATTCCTTTATGAGATAGGATTTGGAGACCACCATTTACATCTTGCACGAGTGTAATCATAAAGCCAGGGTCAGTGTGCTCAGGGATACCAATGGAACCCTTGGATGTAGAACAAGGTGGATAAAGGTTCATGACCATTACATCAAACCCTGACTTCAGGTCGAATGCTTTCTCTAAGTAGTTTTCTTCAAACCCTAAGGTTTTAGACATCGCCTTTGCTAATCCAACTACTATTGTTCTCATCTCTTTGCCAAATTTTTCTAAGAGTTTTCTAATGCACAAAAGAATCCCAAGTTAGCAAATTATATATGGAACATCACAATAAGTATAATTAATATTTTAAAAAATTCTAATACACGCATGCTCGCACACACCTGATATCCGATGGGTTAGATGAAAAATGGAACTGAGGGTGCGCATAAAATTTGACACATTCCCTATTTTCTTCAATAGAGGAGTTTTGGAGCCATTGAATTTTATCTGTAGGACCTTTCTTACTATGGACTTTTCTTTCATCCATCGTTGTTGGATCAAAGTAATCAGTAACTCTCTTCAAAACACAGTCAAAAACTTCATCCGGGATGGTGTGGTTTACCAGCTGCATGCATACAAAACAATAATCATTGAAACTTTATTATATTATGTTATTCTTATTCCAATAACATTTTTTTCCAACACTTATTTAGCGCACTATTTTTTTTGCTTTATCTTTTTTCCTTACATGACTCATCTGTTATGCTTCTTTCTTCTATTTCTAACTATCTCCTTGTCGTAGAGATTATATATTGTGAAAAATTAATGTTAGAATAGTGTTACTCTGTATCTAATAGTTGAAGTATAATATGTTAAAAGAAAAAAAAAAGTGATGTAAGGCATGCTATAGTATAAACTGTACTACAAAAGGGCCGAGAGTTACATAGAAGGTGCCATATTCCTGGCATGCTTGGCGGAGGTTTTCAAGGGCAAGGAATCGCTGATCAGGATCATCAGAGAATATTAAGGAATAATCGACGGTGGGTATTTCATCATCAACAGCTGAATAATGATGAGAATGATGATTAGTCCTTGCTGCAGGCTGAGAGGAAGCACTGTCATAATCTGGGGCAACTTGCAATTCAGGATCAAAAGATGTTGTTTCAGCCATGATAGTGATAAATAAAGGGATCAAGACATATAATGCTTATTTTGCCCCTAACTAGCTAATATAGGTAGAGATGCATGCAGTTGAGCCATTCCTTTTGCTATGTATAATCTGGGGTGAGATCCAAAGTTTAATTAGTTTAATATTAATTATAGACTTACCCAACTTGGCCTCACCCTATAACAAATATATCTTGTAAGTCATATTAATCCATTCACATGGATGCGGCAGTGTGGGGTGTGACAGCTACGTGGGTTTTGGGAAATTTTGTTTTTAATTATACAAAACCAATCGATTCGGGTGGGAATAAGAGATCAATAGATGGGAATACATAGTAATTGGAGCAAATGGATCGACGGTTACAAAGAATTCGATGCAAGTGGAGATGATTATGGCGTTTACTTAATTTGTACATGTCGATGTACCTAAATGGAGTACAGCTTCTACTCTGCAATATTTAACAATTTAGGTTTATCTAAGAAAAATATATATTTTATGGCTATACATTATTATTAAAAAATTATACTATTGGTTAATTAAAAGTTATCGTAATTATAGTTTATAATGAAATCAACAATAACAATTAAAATTTATCACATTAAATAAAATCAATACGTCAATCACGTAGGTTAAAAATTATAATTTTTTAGATATTTATTATTAAGTTTTATTTTATAATTTTTTCTAATATAATCAATTTATAACTAAATAATAATAAAAAATTATATTGTAAATATATTTTAATTAATTTTATTTTAGTAATATTTTAATTATTTTTATTTTAGTAATATTTAATTAATTATATTGTAAGTATAAGATATTTTAATCTCTAAAATTTTAAAAATATCACGTTAATCTTTGACTTTCATCTTCATCGGATATTTTAGTTCTTAGACCTAAACATTCTCAATAAATAATAATAGAATGATGACATGTCACGTTAAATGATATATATGATTGATCACATATTAAAGATGATGTATAATATGATATAATATATGTTTTTATTTTATTTTAATCATTAAGATTATCATCCATCAAACATTTTGGTCCATAAAATTATCATCCATTAGATATTTTAGTTCTTAAAATTGTTATCCGTTAGACATCTTAACCTTTATTGCTTAAAATTTGACAACTACCCATTCTTCTTTTTTATTCCCCATCACTAGAAATATCATTGTTGGCCAACGTCTATGTTCTTTGTTGGTGGCAAAGTCACTGCTATTCAACACTTCTCTTACCTTATTGTCATAATTCTCCATCCAACCACATTCTTTTTCTTAAATATTGAAGTTCAACATTCTATAGTTTGGAGCTCAAGCGTTTCCTCTGTGTTTAGTTTATTGAAATCCCTCTAACACTCTTTAACTTAAAAAATGCCAAGATAGCTCTTTTAAGATACAACATATGAAGAACCAAAAGTTGTAAATCATCTTGTATTAGAAGCATTCCTCAACTAGGTAGCCAGAGGTGGAGATCTTGAGTTGGGAAATCCGAGAGATAAAAATTTGGATAGAGAAGAAAAAGATGCAGGAAAGTGGGAGAAGTAGAAGAAATCATCATGTTGGAGAGAAAATGATAACATCAGAGAAGTGCTAGATAGGCAACTTTGTCTCTAGTAAAGAAAACAGATTGTGACCGACAATTATAGTTTTTAGTAAAGGAGAATGAAGAAGAAAGATGGGTAGATAAACAATTTTAAAACCTAAGGACTAAAATGTCTGATGAATCATGACAATCTCAATCTCAGGGAACAAAATGAATTGAAAATATATATCATACCATATACGACATTATTTTTGTCATATAATTAGTTATACATGTTACTTAGCGTGATATGTTAGCATTCTGTTATTATTTATTAATGGTGTTTTAGTCTAAAGACTAAAATTCTTGACAGATATAGAAGTTAAGGACTAATTTGATATTTTTAAAATTTTAGAGATTAAAATACTCAATACTTACTATCTAAGGAACCAAAATAAGAGTTTAGTCATTCTTTGTTAAATTTGTCAATAAGAATACGAGGTAAATTTTAGAGCCTTATCTCTTTTAGAGATAATTCCCTTATACGAATTCAATATTTGAAAGATTAAAAAATGTAATCCTCCTACAATTTTAGAACCTAGGGCCTTGTTAGGCCCATATCCAATAATTGCTCCCTTTTTTACATTTTGTACCCTAACAACATATGCTCATACACACATATGTTATATCAACAAGTTGTTACTATTTGGCTTAAAGCTAAAACATTTACTTTTAATTGACAGTCTATTTGAATTGAATTTTCCCCATGAGAAGAAAACAATATGTCTTTCTTTACTCTTGCTCAAGCCTAGGCAGTTGTTCATTTTGCTACTGTAATATCCTTTTTTTATTTATCTATTGTTTGATAAATTGTTCTAATATTGGATAGTATTGGGATATGCTTTAAATTGAATAGAATAGTGTTTCTTAGGATTCTGGGGCAAGAGTTCTCACTCAAGCAACATTGAGCCCCAAAAATCACATGTTTTTATGGCAATCTCGCTCAGGCTAGATGAGTCTCGCTCAGGCAAGCGAAACAAAAGATGACACTTCACCTAGGCTAGATAAGTTGCTCAGGCGATGACTCATAAGAAAAATGTCCAACTCTCTAGAAGTTGTCTCGCTCAGGCGAGAATGACTGTCGCTCAAGTGAAAATATCAGAAAATGCTTGGAGAGTCCACTGTCTGGTGTTCTCGCCCAAGCGAGATATGTCTCGCACAAGTGAGAATCACCTCGCTCAAGCAAGTTCCTCGCTTCAGCGAGAAAGCGCGGATTTGAGGGATATTTAAGGGATTTCTAGTATGAGAAAATTCATTCACGTTCTGCATAATCTCGTTATAGCGAGATCCCTCTTACTAAAGTGAGACTGCACCCAGAAATGCACTCTCCTCTGTTGCCCTCTCGCTGTAGCAAAGAGCCTCTCGCTATAGCAAGAATGCAACAGAATCATGCCATTCACCCAGAACCTTCTTGCTATAGTGAGAATGCCCCTGCAGCACACACTTAGCCTATTTCTTTCTCAATCAGTCCAACCATATCCAATCTCTCAATACAAATTAACACATACACACATTCATATACGTATACACATACGTGTCTATGTCATCACACATATACACATATATTCACATCATTATATACATCAAATGCACATTCAATGAGAATTCTACAATTATATTAATAATCAAATATATTACAAAACTCGGGGTATTACAAATTTTATTTTTTATTATGCTTCATATATTATTTGTTGGAACAAGTATAGACTTTTTAGTATATCTTCACACTAGTATGATATTGTCCACTTTGGGCCTAAGCTCTCATGGTTTTGTTTTTGGACATTATCCAAAAGGCCTCATACTAATGGAGATCTACCATACTTATGTGGGACTTTGTTTGCACATCACAATAATCTCTCCCTCGAACGAAGTCCTATAACACCAGGCCTCTAACACCAGAGCCCACCTTGGAGGCACCCTCACCCGTTCTTGGCCCTTGTCGCACCGGGTCCTACTCGAGAGATTCACCACATGGAATTCACCGTGCATCATCCATGTGACACTACTTGGGACCATGCATACCCACATCCACATCCATGTAGCACTACTTTGGGATCCGGACTCTAATACTAGTTGTTGGAACAAGTATGGACTTTTTAGTATATCTCCACACTAGTATGATATTGTCCACTTTGGGCCTAAGCTCTCATGGTTTTGTTTTTGGGTATCATCCAAAAGGCCTCATACTAATGGAGATCTACCATACTTATGTGGGACTTTGTTTGCACATCCCAACACTATTGTGCTTATAAATGGTGTATAAAAGATTATCTTTAAGTGCAAGTTTTTTTGCAGATGGCATAGTGTTAGTTGAGAATTCAAAAGAAAAGCTTAATACTAAACTTGAGTTAGGGAATGAGACTTTAGAATCCACAGATTTTTGCTTGATTAGAAATAAGAAAAAGTATATGCCTAAGTTTAGCAAAAAAATAAAGTAAAATTAGATAACATGCATGCGTTGAAAGTTAAAATTGGAGATTATATTATATCACAAGTTTCCTGGTTTAAGTTCAATGGATATATTACTGAAGATATTACTCATAGAATACAAGTTGGATGGTTAAAATGAACAAAGACATCAAAAGTTATTTGTGACTGTTATATGTCTATCAAGCTGAAAGAAAAGTTTTATCGTACTAAAATACAACTAATTATCCTATATGGTAGTGAAAAGTTGGTCAAAAATGACAAAATTTATAGACGGATTTTTCTATTTGTAATTTTCGTTCCAAAATTCCCTCTCATTTTCAAATTACAGACAAATTTTTCCATCTGTAATTTCTGTCTGTAATATTTTGCGCCAAATGGCAGGCCAACTACAGACAGATGTTACAGACGGATCAAAATCTATTTATAATACAGATGTATTTTTTTACAAAATTTTAAAAAAATATTCAATTATCCGTCTGTAAAGTCGTTTGTACAGACAAATTTTTGTTTGTTTGTAATATCTCTCTGTAAATCACGCTTTTCTAGTAGTGCTTAAAGGAGAAACATGAGAAGAAATTGAGAATGGTAAAAATGAGAATGTTAAGATGAATGAGTGGTCATACAAGAAAGGACATGATAGTATACGTGAGAATATTGGAGTAATGTAAAGTCAACTAAAAAGTGTTTTAGGTGGTATGGTCTCATATAAAAAAGATCTTAAAAGGTACTAGTGAGTATGGTGGATTACATGACTTTTAGTCCTCTAAAAAGGGATCAAGGAAGACCCAAAAGAACCGTAGATAAAGTTATTAAAAGATACATTTTGATTAATCAGGTTTCTTAAAATTTAATTTTTGACTGAGTTCAACAGTATTATATAATCCATATAACTAACCTCATCTATTAGAATAAGACTTAGTTGTTTTGTACTTTATCTACTGTCTTATTATGTAACTACATTTTAAAATCACTAATCAGTTATG